GCCCTAAATGAAGATCTAGATCACATGGACATAATAGACATCTATAGGACACTGCACCCTCAAAAAAATCAATACATATTTTTCTCACATGCACATGGATCATTCTCCAGGGTCAACCTCATATTAGGTCACAAGACAAACATCAACAAATTCATGAAGACTGAAATCATACCAAATATCTTCTCTGACCATAAAGGCATCAAACTAGAAATCAACTGTGAAAAGCAAGCAAGGAGATTGCACAGTACATGGAGACTGAGCAACATGAGAGGCTGTTAGGGGAAAAGGATGTCCTGAGCCATCTCCATACAGGCTTTGTGGACTCTACCCCCCAATCCATCAAGACACTGGGAACTACAAATCCCATGATCACCAAAGGGAAGATTGCGAGGACCTGAGGGTGGTGTTAAGCAACCAGGTTCTCGATTTGAGTATTTAACTGGCCATGTGGCCGGGGTCGCCCTCTTGGCCATGCTGTGTGCTAGGTTTTTCGCCAGCTGGCCGGGTCACTGGGAGATAAGTTTGTAAATGCGTCCTAATCTCCCTCTTTTTCTCTCTGAGTTATTCATTTCCCATTTCCCCTTCCCTTGTAAATAAATCTTTTATCAACCTTTTGTGTGTGTCTGAAGTTTAGCATTAATAAGTCCCCTTTAAGTGCATGGGTGAGGACCCACAGGCAGGCAACCCAGTTTATATCAGGATTGCTCTGTAACAAGGCCACTGGGTAAACAAGGAAATCAAAGAAGAAACTAAAAAATACCTTGAGACAAACGACAAAGATGACACAACTTTCCAGAATGTATAGGACTCAACAAAAGTGGTATTAAGAATAAAGCATATAGTAATACAGGCCATATCAAGAAGCAAGAAATAACCCAAAGAAACAACCTAATCGCCCATCTAGAGGAACTAGAAAAAGAACAACAAAAAGACCCAAAAATCAGTAAAGAAAGGAAATAATAAAAATTCAAGCAGAAATAAATAAAATAGAAATAAAACAGACAATCCAAAAGATTAATGAAATCAAAGGCTGGTTCTTCAAAAACAAAAACAAAATCAAAAACAAAAAAACAAAAAAACCCCTCACAAGGCTCACAAAGAAAAAAGGGGAGGGCCTTCCCAGTGGTGCAGCAGTTGAGTGCTGGGTTGCGAGGCTGCAGCGCCAGTTTGATCCCTGGCCAGCGGCCGCTGGGGCGAGGGTCCCACATGGCGCGCAGACCTCTCCTGCCGCCCACTGCTCCCTTCAGCAGTGTACTTCGTCACTCTGCCTGATCTACTCTCTGTTCTGGCTCTGGTGAATTCTCTCACCCTCCTGCGCCTCTGACTGTACCCAGTGCTTGTATAAATAAATAAAAAGATCTTTAAAAAAAAAAGGGGGGGGGGAGAAAACTCAAGAAAGTAGGATTATAAATAAAAGAGGAGAAATTACAACACAGTAGAAATTCAGAGGATAATTAGCGATTACTATGAACATGTATATGCAAACAAGTTCAACAGTCTAGATGAGATGGACAAATTCTTAGAGTTATACAATTACCCAAAGCTGAACAAAGAAGAAATAAAAACTGAAAGAAATTACAAGTTGTGAAATTGAAACAGTTATCAAAACTCTCCCAAAAAACAAAAGTCCAGGACCAGATGGTTTCATAAATGAATTCTACCAAACATTCAAAGATGGCTATCCTACAAAAGTCTTTCAAAAATCAAGAAAAAAGGAAAACTACCAAATACACTATACAAGGCCAGCATTACACCAAAAGCAAACAAAGACAACACAAAGAAAGGAAACTATAGACCAATCTCCCTAATGAACACAGATGCAAAAATCCTCACTGAAATCTTAGCAAACCAAATTCAACAATGCATTAAAAGGATTATATACCACAACCAAGTAGGATTTATTCCAGGTACACAAAGATAGTTCAACATCCAAAAATCAATTACATAATTCACCACCTCAAAAGAAAAATAAAAACCATATCAAAGAAAAATAAAACCACATAAACACAAAACAGAGTCTGGGAAAGCATTTGATAAGGTCCAACATCCATTTATGATGAAGGCCCTTGAAAAACTCAGGATAAAAGGGACATACTTTAGTATAGTAAAAGCCATATAGGACAAACCCACAGCCAATACCATTCTCAATGGTGAAAAGCTGAAAGAAAGTCTTCCCATTAAGATTTGGAACAAGACAAGGATGCCCGCTCTCACCACTGCTCTTCAATATAGTACTAGAAGTCCTAGCTAGGGCAATTAGGCAAGAGAAAGACATAAAAGGAATTCAAATAGGGAAAGAAGAAGTGAAACTATCATTATCTGCAGATGATATACGCTATATAGAGATTGCTAAAAAATCCACAGAAAAACTAATTAAAGCAATAAACCAGTTTAGTAAAGTAGCAGGTTACAAAATCCATACACAAAAATCAGTACCCTTCCTATGTGCAAACACTCAATCTCATGAGTAAGAAATTAAAAAAAACATCCCATTTGCAATTGTACCAAAAAAATTTTAAATACCTGGGAATAAACCTAACGAAGGAGGTAAAAGACCTACACAAGGAAAACTACAAAACACTGTTAAAAGATGCAAAGAAGAGGCAGCACTCCATCTGCCCACCTGTGACTATGCAGGTGCTTCTTTTCACCAACTCTCTCCCTCTGCAGGGCAGCAGCTTCTGCCTGCCTGTGACCTGTACCATGCTGGACTTCTCTTCACTGACCTCCCTCAGCGGAGGCAGCTCTCCTCAAGGCCGCCCGCCTGCAACCATGCAGGCCTCTCTCAGCAAACCTGTCCCTTTCGGGGCAGCTCTTTCTGCCCACTTGTGTCTATGCAAGTGTCTTTTACTCTTTTGTCCCTTTCCCTAATAAACCTGCCCTTTAAAAAAAAAAAAAAAAAAAAGATGCAAAGCCTATACAAAGAAATGGAAAGATATCCCGTACTCATGGATTGGAAGAAATAATGAAAAATCACAACCACTAAACTTATCTGCAATGTGGGGTGATTTTCTCCAGCAACGCTCAGCTATGTGAGGACCTATACAAACAAGGGTTGGCAGATGGCCATATTCATCCAGGGCTGGAGTTTTCCTAGAGTTCAGGCAGAAGAGGGCCAAGGGGACAATGAGAATGCAGAAGCCCGTGAACTGAAGGTCTCAAGAATTATTTCTGTGGGGCCCTTGCAAGCTGGAAGGAAAGAGGTTGTGGTCAGAAAAAAGGATGTCTATATGTGTGGATTTGGAGGTTGTGCACATTCTGCAGATAATAAGGCTCAAGTTGTACCTGGGATTGCAAGACTGGGGCTGGGTGAAAGAAATTTCATAGGTGATGAGAAAGTAAATGTACTAAGGAGTCATGATATGTGGGAGTAGCTGTTCCTACCAGGAAAAAAGCCTCTGAAATCTTGAGTTGTGATTGCTGCATAAGAAGATAAAGGTTTCCAGGAGTCATCTTCACATTTCTTCATGAACTGGTCAAAGAGGAGTCGCATGTCCTTGCTCCAGCTGGGGTTAGGGAGAGGGGAATCCTTAGGAGTGACTTTCCCAGAAGAAAACGATTTCTAAAAGAGAAAAAGGAATAATGGGATGTGTGTCCTATTGCATAACATTATTCTCCTATTTCTAGCCATCTTGCTGCTTTTCTTCTTCCCAGAAGCTTATCATTTCAGAGCTGACATACTGGAAGTGAAGTTTGACTGGAGTGGGTTCAAGAGAGAACAGAAAGTGAGAAATATAGTTGTGGCATGTCTGTAGGCTAATGAGAAAGATCTAGCAGAAAGGATGTCCTGAAGGAGGTCAAGGGGATGGAATCCAGTGGGCAAACAGAAGGCTTGTTCTCTTCTAAGAGTACGGCCATTACAGTCGTAACAAGAAAAAGTAGAACATGAGCACAGATGCAGGGAGGAGGGTAAGTGAGGCAGGAGGAGCCTAGACATTCTCTTCTGATGGCTTTATTTTCTCTTAGTGAAACAGGAGGCAACATCAGCTGAGAGTGAGGCTTGAGAAGAAGATAGAAAATAGCCATACATGGGCCTCCCCTCGTGGCACAGAGGTTGAGCACTGGGCTGTGAGGCTGCCCAAAAAAAAAAAAAAAAAGAAAAGAAAATAGCCATACAATGTGGGAGAGTGAATGGATGAGGGAAAAAAGGAATAATGATAGTCAGACAACATTAAAGGTCTACTTAAGTAATAAAAAAAAAAAACACTGCAATTTCCAAACTACTATTTAAACACGTATTTAGGAGATTAAAAGTTAATAAGTAAATTAGTAAATATCTTCATAGGCCCATGAAGTCAGGGGCCCTATGTGTCCCTCAAGTCTATTTCATGAAAATAACGCTTAGAACAGCACAGATGCTCAACAAACAGTTGTTGAATGAATAAATACTGGGTGCTGAAAATGAGAAACCAAAACAGTCTTTACAGATTGATTCTTAAAAATGAAAAATGGGGGGGGCCTCCCCTGGTGGCGCAGCGGTTCAGCAGTAGGCTGTGAAGCTGCCCTCAGCCTCTGCAGTGCCGGTTCGATCCCCGGCCACTGGCGAGGGTCCCACATGGCGCGACAGACCTCTCCTGCTGCGCCTGTTGCTCCCCTCAGCAATGTATTTCTTCGTCAGTCTGCCTGTTCTGTTCCCCGCTCTGGTGAATTCTCTCACCCTCCCGCGCTTCTGACTGTACCCAGTGCTTGTATAAATAAATAAAATCTTTAAAAAAAAAAAAGGAAGAATGGGGGGCCTCCCTGGTGGAGCAAGGGGTTAAGTACTGCACTAGGAAGCAATCTGCACCTTCTGCAGCACGAGTTTGTTCCCCGGCCTGCCAGGGAGCAACCCACATGGCGAGGCAGACCTCTCCTGACTTGCCTGCTGCTCCCCTGAGCAGTGTCTTTCAGTCAGTCTGCCTGTTCTGTTCCCCACTCTGTCTCGGGTGAATCCTCTCACCCCTCTCCCGGCACCTCTGGCCTGTAGCCCAGTTCTTGTATGCATAAATAAATAAAAATCTTAAAAAAAAAAAAAAAAGAACAGTGATGTAAAAAATAAAAAAAAAAATATGGACTTCAATACTACCCACATTTTAAAAACTCTTCGAACCAGTGGTTCCTAACATTTTTAGGTTCTGGGGCC